GGCTGAGGCGGAAGGATCGCTGGAGCCCAGAAGGTCGAGACTGCAGTGGACGGGAGCAGCCACTGCACTCCAGTCTGGGTGACAGAGTGAGACTCCAACTCAAAAAAAAAATAAATAAATAATAAAAATTATGACCACAATGGATGTTGGTTGTCTTTTGATTTGAAGATAATTGCATTTTTCATTTCCCTGAGTCAGTTTAATGTAGCCGGAAGAGTGTTGTGTTAAAATCAGAAACCTGGGGTTAGGTCTTACCTCAGTCATGAACTGTTTATCTGATCTGGAAAACTCAGTGATTGTTAAGTATTGGTTTATATTCTGAGGAATAAAAGGTAAATGAAAATATGTTTGACAAATGATTTTAAAGTTCTCCTTTTGGTTCTAATGCACTATCAACTAATTAATACCAAAACCTCTTGACTTTCTGAGCTCAATCTAAGATTATGTCCCGTAGATCAATAGTTCTCAACTTGACTACACATTCTAATCTTCAAGGGAGCTCTAGAAAAATTCCAATTTCCAGGCCACAATCCACACCAATTGAATCAGAATCTTTTGAGGAGGTATCCAGATATCAGATTTTAAAACTCCGTAGGTGGCTACAGTGTACAGCCAAATTTGAGAACTACTACTTTGGCTATAAGGCAGGGAGAAATGAAAATAATTATATTAATATTGTTCACTATGAGTGCAAGAATTGCATCGATAGTCTTCCCTCCTCTCTCTCTAGGCCCTAGCAAAGTGTCCAACACATAGTAGGCACTCAGTAAACAGTTATTATTTTTAGCACATTTGGCCAATCCCTAAAAGAAATTGTGCTTATCAAATCTGGTATCTATTCTGAACATTTTCATTTTGATCTCATTCACTGAATAAGAGCTCAATTATCTTCTTTGCCTGTGTGAACATCAAAGGAAAATGAAATAATAGGTAATCCTATAGAAGTGGTGCAATTCACCTATTCTTGGTATGAAATTAAATAAAACATCTATTACATTCTCTAGAGAAGGGGCCCTTGGTAATCTAAAGATGTGTTTCCTAAATGGCTCTACACATCTAGGTGAAAATAAATAGAAAGAAACATCTCTGAGTATCTAGATGTGTTACCCACTCAGCAGATATTTATAAAGTATGTATGTACTGTATAGGCTATGGTAGAATTTCTCAACCAGGGTTCTATGCTAGACTTGAACTCTAATTCTCTGGGCATCTTTACATGCAATTAATTAACTTTCTTCCTTTGCATACAGAATATTATTTGTTATATATAATATTTGGGAGAATTGAGAAAATAGTCGCTCAAATCATATTTTTGTGCTCTGTGGTTCAGACAACAAAGCCCCGTTTTAAAAAGCTGCAAGTCGAGAGGATAAAATGACAAACAAAACAGTACTTATCTTCAAGAACAGTACTGTCCAATATAACTTTATTGATGATGGAAGTGTTCCATATCTGTGCCATTCAATAGAGTGGCCACTAGTTGCACGTGACCACTGAGCACTTGAGATGTGAGCAATCCAACTGAGGAACTAAATTTTTAATTTTATTTAATATAATTAATTTAAATTAAAATAGCCACATATGAGCCGGGCTCGGTGGCTCAGCCTGTAATTCCGCGCCTTTGGGAGGCTGAGGTGAGTGGATTGCCTGAGCCCGTGGGTTCGAGACCCACCTGGGCAGTGAGACCTCATCTCTACAATAAATCAAAAAATCAGCCGGGCGTGGTAGTGCATGCCTGTAATTCTGGCTTCTCCCAAGGCTGAGGCGGAAGGATCGCCGGAACCCAGCAGGCGAGGCTGTGGTGGCCGGGAGCGGCCACTGCACTCCAGTCTGGGCGACCGAGTGAGACTCCAACTCAAAAAAAAAAAAAAAATAGCCACATATGGTGAATGGCTACCTGTCAAACAGTTAAGCTAGAATACCATATTCAAATAGAGGAGATGGGCACACAGATCATAACAGTACTAGTGATTACGTGCTAATAAGAGGTAAGCACAAACGCCATGAAAGTATGTAGGTGGGGAAATTAGTCTTAAGGATGGTGAATGGTTGGGGTGAAAACTTTCAAGAGGAAATGGGTTCTAGGACAGGATGTAAAGGATACATTGTAGAGTTTGGGAAGAGTGGGAAAAGAGTACCAGGCAGAAGGTTAGGTATATGAGAAAGCCCAGAAGATAAAGAGAACATTTAGAAAAGACAGATGGAAGACTGGAGCCTAGATTAACAGGGGAAGTGGGGAGGAGCTTGATGAATCCAGAGAGGACTGTTGAACCCAGGAACAGGACATGAGCTGTAGGTGCCCTGATATCCCACGGGCAATGAGAAGCCAGAGAAGAGTTTGAAACTATGGAATGATATGATTATATCTATGGTTTAAAGGGAGTTCCCTGGCTGTCCCTAGGCAGTGTGGAGGAGAAAAGTGAAAGCATGATGTAGTTGTCCAGTGAAAAATGAGGTTTGCTTTTACTACAGTAGCACAGAAGATGGAAAGAAGTAGACATATTTGAATAACAGAATGAAGGAAAAATCAAAAGACTACCAGAGTCACTGGCCATGGCAGGGGGAAAGGGAAGAGACATGGACCACACCTTGGCTTCCAACTTGAGCAGATGACAGTATCATCTGTTTAAAGGTAACATGGGATCCTTTAGAAATTGTCTCTAAATTTACATTTTCCTATCACATTGGATTATTTGTTCCTCATGGATCCAGAAACTAGCTTTGATACATACTAGTGAAAACAAACAAACTATACGAGCATGCTTTTCCAAGAAATCAACACAAGTTCACAGTTGATGCAACATTACTTTTATTGGGGGCTGGGGACATATGACAAAGTCTCATAAAATGTCAACAAAGTCACACCTTGTGTTTGGCTGCTCTTTTAAAAACCCTGTTTATTTATGAATTTACTTAATGAGAACCGTGTGAGATATGGGCAACAATAATCATTTTGAAAATAGAGTGACCAGAGCCATGAGGAGATCTAAGTCTGACAATGTCAGATATCTATGTGGAAATTTACAATCAAATATTCAGATACTTTCAAACATTTAGATGTTTGTCCATAAATAGACCCAACTTAACTGACTCCTTTGAGACAGAATTGCATCTTGAACCTCCATTACCCATCTGACCACATATGAATCATTATTAAATGTCAGTTGAATGCAAAGGGATGTTAAAAATAATGAGATTTTCTCAGTTCTAGCTTTATATGGCCAAAATATTTTGGAGCTAGTTACATGGATAAGTGGGGATTATAATAGCACATGACTTAATAGTTTTAAAAACATAAGTACTATGGAGACAGTCATGTAAACATTCATGCAAAAGCAATTACAAATATATACCATGCATAAAGTTGATTAAGAAGAACTAAGAATCCAAATAACTTAAGAATATCATAGAAGATACTGTACTCATAAAATTTTGGACATTATGTGTTCTTTGGGGATGGACCATTGGCAATTTTTGGACTTAAAGTTATTAGTTCATATCTAGCTTTTTTTTTTTTTTTTTTTTACATTGAGATAGGAAACAAAAAAAGTGCAGAACTAAAGCAATTCAGTAGGCATAATGCTCCCTGATTACTACCTGGAAAACCTGTCTCCATTTATCAAATTCAAGTTCATGCTTCATTTAGGAAGGGTAATGTAGTTCAACAATCTACTGAGAGATGACTAGAGCACCTAGTTTCTGGTCCTTGCTCTGACACACTCCAAAATGTAATCGTCTGTAAGTTACTCTAAGATTATGGGCTATAGATTTATTTCATCTGTAACAAAGGACATTGCAACAGGTGATATAAGCCGCCACCTTTTTTTATTCTCAAGAATTTGAGGCTTTGTGCAGACCAAAACAAACAATCTAATCAGTTTTGCAAACAAAAAAATTGCCTAAAATGCTGATAAGCTCTATTTCCTACTTACATAATTCAACAAGAAAAGTGAAAAAGTTTAGGTGATTATTAAATGAAATAGCTATTTGTTTATCATAGAAATATAACAAAAAAGTATTTTAAAAAGTGATAATAATTGTGACATTGATTATGATATCATGACTTTGCATGAGCTTTACGGTCTCAATTCTGAAAATGAACCCTTTTTATGGTACTTGGACAAGTTCCTTAAACCTCAGTTTTCTTGCCTGTTAAATGGGGATAATAATATCTATTCTGCATGGTTACTGTGAGTTGTATGTGAGTTAATATGTAAAGTGTTCAACATACATTGAGAACTCGGTATAACAATTATTATTAGTTTAACAGAAAAAAACACAGTTCTCCATGTTATCACCAGCCACCCTCATTTGTTTAATTGCAAGAAAATATGATAATAATTTTTGTCAACACTGAGCGGGGAAGAGGAGAGGTATGTGTACGTGCAAAATCTTTCCCAGATACATAGAGAGAACTGCTGAATGTCTGGGGTGAGGTCAACTGACATGCAGATTCATTTCCTCCTCCATGGCTTTGCTCAAAATGTTATATCCACCTAAAGAACTCAGTTTTCTCCTCTCTTTCCTTTTATCTAATCTTTGACGCCCTTCAACATTCATCTAATACTTTCCTCTTTTAGAAACTTTCATCCCCAAACAAGCCAGTTATGCCCACCTTATGGCAAACACTCTGTGTTCATCTTCTGCTTTGTTTTGTTTTTTGTTTCTATCCTCTGCTGACGCTGTTACTTATCTTTTCAAAAGTTTCTGTAACTTTGTCTAACTAGACCCGAAGCTCTTTAGAAGCAGTGACCTAATCTCACATAAACTAGCTTGCTTTGTAATAATAATGTGGATTGGTGAGTGTCAAATGGAACAATGTGGCATTTCTATGCTGCAGAATAAGTTTCTACCACTATTTTATCTTTTGAATTGCCTCTGACTACTTTGTTATTTCAAGAATACTCTTTACTTTCTAGGTCATTCTTAAGATCAAACCCTATGTATGGCTAAAAATCATTCTTCTTATAGCATTATTTTTTTTAATAACATATTTGCGCAATTTTGGATTTTAAAACTAGTGTATTAATAAGTATATCCATATTAAGAAAAAAACATGATTGTCACATGAATTTAAATACAAACAGAGGAATACACACGAGGAAGGGAAAATCTTGACTCAGAAATCTAGATGAGTTTTTCTGTTTCTTGAAAAGATTGCCTTTTGTGCTGAGAGTTTTAGTGGCTGAAACTGCAACATTTGGGTGTGTTGTTAGCAGGAGAGGTGTCTTCAGGTGATCATTTTCTTTGTTTCAACTTCATAGTTGGCTTGAGAGTCCATCAATCTAGCAGTCTCTGCAGTCTTTGTCCTTTCACTGGGGAGACATTCCTGAGGAAAGGGACTATAGGACCAGCTGAAAGGAACATCAACACAACTAAAAAAATAACAGAACATGTCACAGAAAGTTATCACATCGACTGTTCAATAAAAGTAAATAAATGTAATAATACTTTGGGGGCCATACTATTTCTAACTACAAGTGAAATGCTGCATCACTAGAAAAATGTAGCTTTTTTTCATTGCTCACCTTGTTCAAGGGTCAGTCAAGCAATGGCATTGCCTGAGTGCGTGAGAGACACCACTCTAATTGCTCTGGGAGAACATGCAATGTAAGAAAAGCTTCAGGTTTATCCAACAGGGAATTTACTGAAATAGGACACATAAGGAAAGAACAAAAGAACACAGGACATTGAGGACACATTCAAATAAATTCAAGGACTAAAGGCAAAGTAAAATTGTTATGGGTCCACAATTGTTTAGCACTGCAGGAGTGAATGAAGTCACTAGAATTATTAGGTTTTAATTGTCAATTCCTTGCATTTGTTGTTTTTCCAGTGCCTGGCACAGAACATGGTACTCACAGAAAGAAGAAAAGAAAGGAAGAAAGAAAGGGGGGATGGGCAGGAGGGAAGGAAGGAGGGAAAGGAGGGGCAAAATGGGAAAAGACAAAGAAGAGGGAGGGAGGAGAGAAAGAAAATGGCTTCTGAAGTGTACAAGAAGTGGAGAGACAGAGTGATCAGAAAGGAAAATAGAATATGAGCATATTCAAAGACTTGGAAGGCAGGGAAAGCAGAATTATTTAATTCAGGAAAAGATTATACATTATAAGTGGTTTTAGAAAATGGGGTGGGGCAATTTCCAGGTGACTTTGAACACTGTTAAGATTTAATTTGGGAAGTGTGATGTGTTCATGTAACTATTGCAGGCTTCTGAGGGGAATAGTAACATGATTCAAATGAATCAAATGGAAAGAAAAATGTGAAACTCAAAGAAGTCGATCCAATGGAAAAAAAAAACAAACCACACTGCAAGAAATTAAAGAAAGGCAAGGCTAAAGAATATAGTCTTAAAATAAAAAGGCAGGTGCTTGTCTGGGTTTCTTCTATGTTAATGTTAATTGAAAGAAATGGGCTTAGAACTCAGATCAAGAATTTGCTTCTCCCACTGTGTGGCTTTTTTCACTCTTCAGCTGTTCCTCTTTTCTGTCACTGACCCCTTCCTGAAAATGAACTCCTCAGTCTTTACAGTTTTAACATCAATACAAAATATGTTAGTAAATACAAAACATGAAAGTGGAATCAAATATAACTTTGAAGGGCAAATGTTGGAACAAATGAGCTTCGGATTCATGGATCCTGGAGTTGTTCCTATGCCTCCATACTTTAGAATAGCTTCGAAAATTCTTAAAGCTGTAAAAAATTTAGAGCCCAACTAATCCAACCTACTTATTTTAACAATAAGGATATTTGAGAAGAGTTATATTAATGGTTCTGTTTTTTATCTTACAAAAATTGTTATGAATGAGATGGACTCTGCAAGTGGATTTTAATTTAATGAAAGGTTTTACTGTCAGCTTCTTCGTTATGTTCACACAATGATGATGTATAATGAGTTAGACACACCAAAGGGGGTATATCATGATATTTCATAGCTTTCTGCCCTATTTTGGATATATAAGATGATTATGGTTCTCTAGATGGCAGGTATAAATTTTTTTCTAAAGCATGTTAAAATAATTAAATGTCAATAGACATTTTTCTGTTCTAATCAAATATGCAATAACTGATATGAGATAAGTAATTAAATACACATCTTAAAGATTTTAGAATTTATTTTCTGAACATTGACAGGGAGGATGGATGCTCAGCTTTTGGTACACATTTGTAAGACTCATTTTAAATAAACTAAAATGTTATTGTATTAAGGAAGAATGTTTCACACAATTTGTGAGTGACTCATTGGATACTTAATAATGGAAAGTCCTTGAATACATAAGCAGGTGAAAAGTAAATCAATGTACTGATTTGGTGTGTCATATAGATATAGCCCATGCAAAGTGTCTCTTTTATAGTAGGATCTCCATTATTAAAATAAATTTTGAGAAATATTATAAATCCACGAGTGACCATATTCTATGCATCTATTACATGTCAAATGTTTTACAAATCAGCTTTCTTTGGGCTCAATGCCCAAAGAAAGTAATATCTTATATCATCTCAACATAAGCCTCCCTTAGAAGCCTTTTTCTGTCTTCCAGGTACATAAGCATAAAACGGGATCCTCGTATTGCCTTGCTCAGGATCCCCCTGTGATCTGATGGTAATGATTCTCCAAATTTGCATCAAGAGCCTCTTCATCTACTGAGGACATGGTAAGTGCCAAGTACCAGGCTGACCAACCAAGTCACTGTTGCTCTGCCTGAGTTATTCCTTAATAGCTAGATCTTTAGGGGCTAGCTTCTTTGAGGCGGGACTTTCCAGTGGGGCTGTAAGTCAAGACACCAAAAGGGAAGTTGATGTTAGTATATAAATGACCTAAAGCAGAGTTTCAGTATCATCATGTGCCATGCAAAATGAAGAAAAATAAAATTAAAAAGTTGTTTATTACAGTTATTGTTTTGATTACTTTGATTAAATTAAAATTATTCTCTCTGCCTAAGGCCATTTCCCTGGCATGCTATCTTATTATTCCAACAAAGGAAATTAATTTCTTATGAATAAGATTTACTATTCTAATATTTTCCATTACTTCAAGTTGTCCAAAGTCAGGATAAAGAATAAATCAATAAAAAGCAGCAAATATTTTATAAATAATGCAAGTGTCCACAATGATAACCCTTTTAGATATAATCAATTTCCAACATCTAAGTCATATACATTCCTTCTTGCATAAGAACACAGACTGTAGAGTCTTTGTATTCCTAGGTTAATTAACAAAGAATTTTTAAAAATAAACTGACTTTAAAAACATTCTATTCAGGAGCTATTTCAAACTATTAAAAATGCCCAAGGGAAAAAAAAAAACCTCAAGTAGGCAACATGTAAAGCAACACACAACTATATGCACATTAGTATAATTACACATTGCAAATTATATCGGATGCATCTAATATCTAATTTTTTGAAAGCTGATTCCATTTGAGACTTCAATAACAGCATCAACATTTTGCAGGTGGCTCCTTCTGTATAGTATCCAAAGGGAATTATTCCTCTAATGTGCTTACAACCCTCAAGTAAAAGCTGAAGCTCTCTCTTAAAGGACCAATGAACAATGGACACTGGGAATATTACCTTGATAAAGGAAGGAAGGAGGGTTCCACCATATATAATATTCAGCATGGTTATTTATTCTGTTCCTTCAGTGCACGTGATACTTATCTGCTTCAAGCAATAAGAAATAAACCTAAACATGACACTTATTAGACAATGTGGAGGAGACTACATTTATATTTGGATGCAGTGATATGAAGAAGTTAGGGGTTGGTGATTTTCTAGATAAACTGATAAAAGAGAAATGTGCAATAGGATGGCAGGTTATATCTTTGATTGGAAACAGAAAGCCCTACGTTAAATTCAGCTCTTCTAAAATATATGATTAATTTGTCCTAAAGAGAATGCCAGATCAAAGATAGGCTTTGAGGAATAGACTTTTGTCCTTATCCTTCTTTATGAATCAATCAATCATCAAATAACCAAAATCTATTTGTGATCTTGGAGAAGGAAGCATATTATTCAAGGTGATTGGATCCATTTTCTTGATTCCTTCTTAAAGATCTTTCTGCTAATTTTTCAGGGTGACTACTGAATTATTTAATTATCTGCACTTTTGTGCAATGAAATATGTTGTCATATCGCATGCTTTATCATGCTGTTGCAGCTCACACTTAATGATGCCTCTATAGTTAGCAGTTTCCTTTGTTCTGCTCAGTAAGTGGTTTTAGAAAGGGGGTGGGCCAGGAAGGAGGAGCCTTGGGGTTTGTAAAATAAAATCATACATTCCTGGTGCAGACGCAAAACTTTATGCATTTACATGAATTTCTTCTTAGAAATTAAGTTGCAATTCCATTTGGAATAAGCTAAGAGGCACAAGTCGATGACATCGAATGCAGCCGCAACAATATACCTTGAAGATCTCTCTAGTGCATTTCCACTGCAGTGCAATGGTAAAACGACGATTTAATTTTTTTTTCTAATCAGCAAGGAATGTCTTTAACAAGGAAGAAGTAAATTATGATAATTACTCTGAATGGTCGGATCCTTGAGCATTACTAATTAGCATTTATTGCCTGGATTATAGAACAATACATGTGAAACCGAACTGCGATTGCTCTTTTACGTTGAAGACTTGAAAAGGCAATGGAGCAAAAAGGCAGCATCATCAGTAGTTTAGTCAGTAGTTTATAACTCCTTGATCGCATACAGAATCCCTCACTTTAGAAACACAAAAATATGGTCCCCAGTATTTATGGCCCACTCATTTTTTGTGTTAGTCACATATTTACATAAGATATCATAGACATGGTAGACTAATAAAAAAAGAAACATTTTAGTTACAATGTCATTTCGGGATAATTTTATCAGTTGTGAGAGTTTAACAAGAAAGAACATAAAATTCGTTGTTTCATAGAAGTATGAAATTTTTCTAGAGAAATTTTGACTTAAAATGGAACAAAGAACTCAGTTCTTAATGAATAAAATTTTACATTCACTTTCCCATTTTCTCTTAGAAGGTCTACATTGAAAATAACTGAGAAAAAGCATTGGTTTCTGGTTTAAGAGATTTTTCATTGGGAATTTTCAATAAAATAGATTCTGAAATTAGAAAAAAAAATGAGACATTAATCAACAGACCAACACCAGTTATGTAAATAAGCGCCACACGTATAATTTGGCAACTGAAATTCTTGAACAGCCCGGCAGGTAGAAGGAGAGAAAAAGAAAAAAATTAACCATGAATCATTCTCACTGCGGTCTCACCGTTTCTCTCCATACCCCATTATAGCGAATGAAGAGAAGAGAACACCTTAAAATATAAAACCAGTACTAAATACAGATGCTAGTCTTCCTAATACCTTCCACGGATTCCCCGCTCTGGTTTGTTTTTTTTTTTTTTTTTTTTTTTTTTTTTTTAGTTTGAAAGAATAAGTTTGACTAAATCTGTGAGAAGATTAAACAGGCTGGTGATAAAAATTAATTCTGCTGAATGAGCAAATGCATTTGGATTGCAGAGATGCAAATAAGAGCATACTTTTCCTTTGACATACCAGGCGGATTAGTTTAGAATGTTAAATTTGATTTTATTATAATATATTAGCAGTGTTTTAATTAATAGCAATCAAACATTTTCCTTCCCTGGGGCTTGATGTGTTCCTAACACTTTCTAAATCATCTGTCCTTTTTTCCACCAAAAAACCCCCTACCAAATTACCAAAACCTTTTGTTACATTCTTCAAAATTTTACTGTATTCAACAGAAAACCGTGAGCTGCTTACCTAAAGGTGTCTTTCCCATAAAATTTGTCCCCAGGTGCTAGATTTAAAATAAATATCGTTCACTAGTACACCTAATTTTTTAAAAAAGGTAAAATTAGGGACTTGAAAATAAACATCTTCTGTATTTTTCTTTATGTGAAAAATGCTGCAAAAGGAGTCTTGGCTGGTTTGTATTACTTGGCTTTATTCTTACTGGAGCTTCCTAGAGCTGTTAAATTTCCAGCTGCATTGGTTTTGAGCTGGCATTTCTTTGGAAACAGAGGCAAAAAAAAAAGTATTTAAAAAAAAAGGAGGTGGGGGAGAATCTAGTTAAAAATACCGTGAACCAGTATGCCCTGTGAGCTGAATTGTAACTGTGTGTTCCAAGGAGGTGCTGCATTGCATTTCACTCATTATCGCCTCCTTTTCTCTCAAGCTTCCTGTCCTTCTGTGTCCGAAAGCTCCAGTTCACTTCTTTCTCTTTTCTTCCTGCAATGCACCCCCACCCCAATTCCCCGCCTTATTTTTTTTTTTTTTATCTGCCAAGCTGGATTTGCACTTTTAAAGATCAGTATCAATAATGCCCTGCTTGTTTCGGTTGCACTCTCCCTTTAAAAGACAGCCCCCTCTAATTGATGCGTCTGGGCTAGTCTAGACTGGTAGTGATTGAACCAACCACCAATTATGTTATTCATTTCACTGAACTTCACTGATGGGCTCCGTGAGGAAGAAGGGGTGTTGAGAAACCTGCTATTGCACTGAAGCAGTTGCCTGCTGAAATATAAAATCTTGTGTGTCGTTATGTACTCCTAAATGCCTGGGTGATCAATTGTATGATAGCAACCTCAGAACATGAACAATCCACTTGAAAACATGTAAAAAACCGAGTGTGCCTCGTAATACAAACTAAAACACTTGTATTAAATTACTACTGTTACCATTTTAAAATCACAGAATTATATCTAGCGTGTTTTTATTGATCCATTTTCATAAACTGCAGATATATTTATATTTCAAAAAGCACCAAATATTTTTCAAATATTTGATATGAATCATATGGTAATATAGATCCATAAGTTAAATAGATGACTTGCCATAATTCCCAAATACCTATGCACACACATCTGCTAAGATGGGGGAAAATCATTAATCCATTGTATATTGACTAAAGATGACTCGAAAATCAAATAACTCTTTTCTCTGAAGCACATTCAGACTATCAGAGGCTGGAAAGTAACCTTTAAATATTACAACTACACAAGAGGCTTCAACAAAAGACCTGGTGCAATTGTTGCACAGTTCATGTTCTCAATTCAGTTTTCTGATTCAAAATGGTTTCTGACTGCAATTTGGAATCAATGACTAAAATTGCAATAAACACTTAAAAAAAACCAGGCAAAGAACAATTTCCTTAACCTTCAACTACAAGGTAAAAAATGAGGCTACAACCAATATAAAGTGTTTAGAAGAAGAAAGCATGTGAATTGGGGTTGATTTAGGTATTTCCCCAAAACAGAAGAGAAACATTGGCCCAAGAATACTAAAATTGTTTAAATAAAATTATATGCTGGAATTTTTCACAACAAAGGAAAGGTAAGTTACTGCTTCTCTTCCCCAACTATAAGACAGACCTAAATCATTGAAATTATTCTGTTACAAAAAGTTACAGCTGCAGAAAACTACAAACTAGGTAATGATAATGATTATCTTAAGAAAGAATAATTTTAAATGCACAGTTGGTTGTTATAAAAAACTTTTTTGGATTAAATTTAAATTGTGATAAAATTTTCTCAGTTTTTAAATAAAGAATAGTAGGCACTGATTAAGCCTAAAGAATATAAGAACTGTATGTGTGTTGCTGTTTCTTTCATTTTACATATTTAGAAAATAAATTTCCAACCCTTACTACTTTAAATGCACCGAGAATAACATTTTTAAAAAGATACAAAGCAAGGGGGCGATATCCTTCCTTTTATTTTATTTTTAAAAACCATGCAAGGTAATACAAATTTAATCTTCATTAATACCCCAAATTCCACCCTTTGTGTGGAGTAGTAAGAGTAAAAATTTTAACCTATTAATATTTTAGCCCAAATGATTGGTTTCCCCTTATCTATGCCTGCGTATTCACTGACTAGCCACATATGATACACATGCATGGACGCTGAATAGATAATATATTCACATGCCCATTTTAATTGGGCACAATTTTAAGATTAACTGTTGAGTTTAAAAGTTGGAGGCATGGGGCATGCTGGGACTTCAGCTGAGATGTTCTGAGGTCAAGCACCAGGTACTGAGCTGTTCTTGTTACGCTCGGATACTACTGCGTGTTGCTCTCAAGGAATAAACCATGCAGATGAGTTCCATAAGCCTCAGGCATCAATAACATACATACATAGACATAGCAGCCAACACGCTATTATAACAGAATATATACCTAATTTACCAGAAATCCAGGAGCTGCCACTCTCTGGTCACCTGATCCCATCTAACAATGAAAACCTCAGAGGTATACTCAATCACTTCAGACAAACTTTCTTTTCTTTTGTTTTTGCTTTAAAGAATAAAGTTCCACCAAATGTCCAGGATGCAAAGGCACGACTCGCAGCTCCCAAGAGCCTAACCCGTGGATTTAAACGGTAAACATCACAAGTTAGGGTCTCAGGGACTGAGAGGAGCGCAACAAACATTTTCTTTCTTGAGACAAAGCAGAGCAAAACAAGAATGACAGGCAATTTCTGTTCGAGGTTCATGACCACAATGCAACAAACAGGTGGTATGCTATTTCCTCACCGAGCTTCCTTCCTTCACAAAATTTGGATTCCATTGAAATATAATATATACATACACGCACACAGCAGTGTCTGGGGGCGCACATACATACCTGAACATACAATCACCAGTATATCAGAGAAAACTCTTTCAAGCTTTGGGCAACATAGTTTACTAAAATGGAAAATAATATGGATAGATCCAGAAATGCTCTCTCTCTCTCTTTTTTTTAAACCATAGTCTACAGTAAGGATTTAGTGTCTCTTCGAGGCTCTAATTTACAACTAGTACAAATGACCGAAAAGAAAAGGAGGTATCTCTCTCCCCCAGGGCAAGCATGCCGCATGCAAAATCATAGAAATCAGGTTTGGGGAAGGAGAAGACCCAGAAGTAGGGTTTGGAGGCTGTGGAAGTATAAATAGGAACAGCGTTCTGAACTCACCCATTCGAAGCGGAGCGGGGCTGCCGCACAGCCTCCCGTGGCACCATCCCTAGCGAGGGGGGGAATGTGAGCTCGCAGTGCGCTAGGCTGGGCGAGGTGTTTCAATAGAGGACGGAGAACGGGGGCGGGGAGGGGAGGCGGGGGCAGGAAGCGATACACCAAATCTAGAGACTGTAACTCTGTAGTTTATGCTTTGACGAGAGAAAAAAAAGGCAGTCGGGTAGGAGTGGAGGGAGGGGCTGGGGCTGATCAAATTTGGAAAATATTCACTTAAAAATTAAAAAAGACAGAGAGAGAGAGAGAGAGAGAGAGAGAGAGAGAGAGAGAGAGAGAGAGAGAATGAGAAACTTCCCCAGAGCTGCTGTTTAAAAAAATTTTTCTTCCTTCTTTCTTTAGCGTGCACTTTGCCAGTCCTGCAAACCGGGCCCTCCTCTGCATCAGCTGCTTGGCTGAAGTCAAGGCCAAATCACCAAGAGCGAGCTCCAGGCTGTCATTCGGTAGACGCGAAGTGGGAAGGGGTGGGTGCGGGCTTGGGGGTAGGGGGGATACATTCCCCCCGCACCTCCCGCTGCGGATCCTTTGAAGCCTTGGGCCAATATTTCAGAGGAATCCGAAGCATAATTCCCCTCCATCTTCGCAGACAGCTTCTGGTTCTGTACCTGAGAGAGAGTCGCTTTCCCCCATCAAGACTGGAAGCTGAGCTTTCCTGCACCGCCTCCAAAAATGAAACGAAAGAGAGGGGAAGTGGACGGGAAGATGGCCTTTTTTTCAAAATTTTCTCCCCCACCCCCCCCTTTTTTTTTTCTTTCTTCTTTTATTCCAGGCCTGAGCAAGGTAGATGGCTGGCTAGTCAAAGAGAATGAAAAAAACAGCCACAGCAAAGAAGACACTGGAGAGGGCCTCAAGCACTTAGTAAAAACGCTCAATATTTTTAATATATTTCCATATGCAACTAAAAACAGCACTCCAGACTTTCCCCCTCCCCCCCCTTTTAAAAATAGAATCATGCTAGCAAGACAGCTAAATTATGTCTCTGTTCCCTCTATACAGGGTCTGTTTAGCACACCCCTCCCACCCCCACCTTCAAGACAACTTTTTTTTCCTCACCTCTGTAGGTTCTTCTAGGCTCAATCCAACGTTCAGTTCAGGGTCTCTCCTTTTCCTCTCCCTTCCCTTTTCCTTTTCCTCTCGGAAAAGCTAGTCCGTCATCATCACACCTAGCTTCGCTCTCCCTCTCTCAACCTCTCTCCCTTTTTCTCTTACTATTAAATAATAATAATAATAATGGCCCTTTCGACATAGCAGCATGAAGTGGCTGCCTTTGAGAAAGCACATTTAATCTTTACTGGCTCCCCTAGGCTTCAGTGAAGAAGGAGAAGGCAAGGGAAAAAAAGAGAGAGAGAGAGGAAAAAAAAGATTGTAAGGGAGGCTGCTGACGGACAGCAAGCATCAGGCACAAATCAGCGACAAGTTGGATTTTCCTAGACCACACTGCCCCCTTTCTTCTCGGCTCTCTCCCTAGGCTCCTGGAAAGCCCGAGTGTCTGGTTACAGGAGGCAACGGGTCTCCTTTTGCCAACCATGGTGCAGATTCCTTGCATGCCTGCTTAAATCTCTGGCAGAATAAGGAATCAATATCCCCCTCTAATCACCTTTAGCTCTTCGATGGCTTCCCCCCTTTTCTGAGAATCCACTTGGCTCTCTTCGCCACTCCCCCGCCCTGCCAAGCTCCCACATACAAAGCTTGCAGCCCTGTCATTTCTCACTTCCTTCCATATCTTGGAGACAAGCCTCTCTTCTAATATCCTCTCGCGCTTGCTCCCTCTCTCTGTTGTAGTGTGTCTCATCCCTGACTCGCAGCTCTGGATGCACTAAGGCATCTCCCTGACTACTAATGAGACCAAAAATACACCCGCAGGTCAGGGGGAAGGCCAGACATTGTATTATACAAATACAAAAAAATCCTCAGCCTGCTAGACGCAGAGATCAGGTATCACATTTTCTAAAAGGAAAAACAAGGGGGGAAAGAAGTGAAGGAGAGGACCACAGGGCAGTTCTCTGCCTAACTGTTTCGCATCCTAGGGGAATTGAAAACACACATGCATGTATGAGTGCAGGTGATGGATTTTGTGAATCCTGGCAGGTTTTCTTTATGGACAGAAAGTCAACAATGCCCAAACATTTCTTTGAAATCAGCATTTAGAAGGATAAAAGAGCAACGATTTGAATTTATATTTAAGATATGTAGACACTGTTCAGGCGTATGATGACTGCAATGCTAAAAATCTCTTTTTTTCCAACGGCTGGGTTTTGCTCGTTGACTATCTGCAATATGTACTAATTTACCACCTAGGCACCCTTGGATTTTGAAATGAACTCATCAGTCACTGATGCTCATCCCAACCCTTTGCTTTCGCTAAAGATATTTTCCATATTCCTGAAGCATTTTTCTCCTCAAAGGTCCGGCAGATACATATACACTTCATTGATCAGCCTAAAGTCCCTCGATAATGATAATATTTTATATGACAAAAAAAAAAGAGGCATGAGAAAAAAGAAAGACATCCTGAGATGACTAAGAGAGCATCTCGTATCATTTCTGTTGCCACCTGTCTTTAAGGCACTGCTATGCAATGATCCTTTAAAGCAGGTATCTCCCAAAAGTAGGGTCTCTACCTATCTACACATGCAGTGGGTATGTGACCATCTTAACCCAATTTCCCTGGCTAGAATCATGCAGACAACAGGCAGTGCTGTGTAAAATGTAATGCCAGGTTCTGTAAATTGCAAGGAAGGGGAGAAAGGTATCTGAGGATGCAGGTTTCCTCCAAGCCAATGTTTTTAAAAGGTGGCTTCTTTGTACTCAACTCAGACATACATCGTGCTTTGTCTCTGACTGTGAGACCTGCAGAAACACGGCTAGATGCCAAGGAAGAGGAGAAGAAAATGCGCAAATGCGAAGAAACACAGAGAGGAAAAAGGGAGAGGAAAGGCATGGAGAGGAGAGGAGAGGAGAGCAGGACAGATAGGGGCAAAAAGAGAATGACCTACACTCAGAGTGTTGAATTTTTTTAAATACTTTTTATTTCTCTTTGTCATTATTGGGAAAGAGAAAGAGATGGTTGCCAGAGGAGTTAGTGACTGGGTTAGGATCTTTTTCAGATTTGGCTAACAGGGTGTTTTCACTAGACTGACGGAGGAAAAAAGAAACATGCTAGAATAATTATAAAGGGTGGAGCTGGAAAAAAAAAAAAGAAAGAAAAAGTCTTTGACTCACTGGGTGCCTCCCAGTAACACCAAAATGAATCATTCCTAACCAGAATCACCAATTGTCTTAGTGTACGTGTATATGAAGGCCAGATGATGGGAATCGTGTCATTGCACCCATCTTCAAAAAGCAAAGGTAACTAGAGAATGAGATTTCCCGAGACTCTCCTAAACCTCTCTATGTTTGCAACAATAGTTCAGCACGATTTTCACATACTAAGCTAATCCGCCCTTGTCTGTATTCACTCTGCTTACAAAGATATACAAATATATAGCTTATGAAAGTTTTGCTATGAACACATCATTTTCTCTATACAACTCAGCGATGTCTTTGGAGGATACTTATTTCAAGCAGTTAACACCTGACCCCAATTTCTGTGGGTAATTAGTGAGCTAGATAACCACACAAAGTGGGTAATTATTTAGTACCCAAGGGTACGCTAGAAGTGGGTAGTGGCTTTGTTAACAAAAGCACATCTCTAATTATTGTATCTATGATGGGTGTTTTAAAAATACCAGTTACTATATCAAGTGAACCATGATAAATAAGTGAACTATTTTGCTGTCCTTAGCATATATATATACATATGTGTGTGTGTGTGTGTATATATATATATATATATATATATTCTATCATGGTTAATCATATTTACCTCTCTTGTATGGAGTGTTGAAAAACTAATTAGTTAACATCTGTAAGACTCTCTGAAGATGGAATGTGCTAGAGACCTCCTAAATATAGTCATCTTATTGTTATTATTACCTTGACTAAAAATTCTAGGTTGGGAGAAGCTGAGGGAGTAGATGTTATTGTTGGGTCTCTAAGTGAGATCACAAACATAATGCATTTGATGAGGGAGGAGTAGTCCCCTACCTGACAGAGTCTAACCCTGACTGTAATAGAGAAGAAAGGTAGACGATATTTCATTGACATCTGGCTCAGGTTGAATCCAAGGAGCTGGGTAGTAGATGGGGAGAGGGAGGAGCAGGAAGAAGGAGTCAGTGATGAGCCGGGAAGGAAGCTGAATCAGCTGGACCACACCCTCTTTCCAAAGTCGTTCTATCCTTCTCTTTCAGGAGCAGCAAAAATGCACAAAAATCCCCAAAGGAGACACCTATGCAAGTCCTGGGACAGATTCAGCATAATGACAATCCATCAGCCAGTTACACAGCATTTATTCTAGAGAAAAACCAGCAGTACAAATCAGTTTAGCAAATGCAGATACATTTTAAAATATTACAATGTTGAGAATAGGCACACATGGACCAGTCTCAGATATCTTTAACCCAGGACGAGAGTGAAGCAACTTTCTAATTTAATTGCTTTTATGAAACACTCTCAGAAGGAGAAGGGGGTATTATTTCTCTTTGCTGAGAAAAAAAAAGAGAAAGAGAAGAAAAAAAAAAAAAAGAAAGGAAAGAAAAGAAAAACCCATGCTTTCAGGGACCCTGTTTCTGGAGAACAACCAAGCCTTGAAAACAAACAACAACAACAACAAAAACTTACTGCTGCTTTCTCTGTAAATGCCCATCTCCTCCAGCCGGCTGTCTGGCTCTGGCTGAGGCAGGACAGACAGAGGCCTCTGGGATCCAAATCTTCAAGTAGGCTCACCACATTTTTTCTTTCAAAGCAAGGTTGTCCTGGGGATTAACCCTAGGGGTCTGGGAGATGCAAGCGTGTGGGAAGGGTGAAGAAAAATATGCAGAGATATTGTATTCAACCCAGTTTACCGCTTCTAGGGAATAGAAAAGGGAAAGGACCTCATTAGTCTGCCAACAGGTACCACAGCCGAAATCTCTGCTGGAGGACGGCCTTCAGGACACGTGTTTATGCTGTGATTGGAGGCCAGTGGTGTGATGAGCACATTTTCAGAGTTTGGGAGCAGAGGGAAAATTTCGCCAAAAGCTACCCACGCCAGGCTTCTGACCTGAAGCCCGGTATTTGTCACCCCATCTCTGAGCTCAGAACTACAAAGGCTGACTGGCATTCTCCCATCCGCCCAGCTCCTTTCAAACCCACAGACTGTGCCAGACTGGCCCCACCTCCCACTGCAGCACATTCTGTAGCCCCGCTCCATGCTGTGCTGTAAGGAGCCAGATTTCCGTTTTAATTGTCCTACCTGGCTGTCCCCTCTGCCACTACCCCTAGCTCTTGGTTCCTGGCATGATTTCAAAGCCCCAGTGAATTGCTTTCCCTCCCCCATCACAATCTTAAACACCTCTAAGTTCTCCCGTCCCCAAATTGTAACCCTTTCAAACTACAATGTTTTTATGTCTTGCAGTTTCTTACATGTCTGACCACTACCACCTCCTTTCTTTGACCTCTCTCATTCTCTTGTTTGACTTCTTTTTTTTTTTTTTTTTTTTTGCCATGTCCTGATTCATATTGTTGGACCGAAAACCAAAACCAAAAGTGATTTGCTAGTATCTTCCCCCTTCTCCTTCCCCCATTATATTAGCATATCTGACAATCCAATTCATCTCAGGGCATTTCCCCAAAGCTCACCTAAAGCAACAGAGAACTTGTGTGTGTGTGTGTGTGTGTGTGTGTGTGTGTGTGTGTATGAATTAAACTGTGTGAATGCAGCAGGAAAGGGCTTGATATACACGGGTGAAAGGCAGAAGAAAAGAATCTTGTATACTTGTGGATATTTAAGGTAAAAGCAATGAAAGCTAATTATACCAAGAACTTACAGGAAGAATATTATATATATGTATATATATATACATATATATACACACACAAACACACACATGCTGAGCCGTTAAATCACAGACCCTCAGATTATCTGATTATCTGTGAATGGGATAGGCAGGACCACATGGTTTTGCAGTTGAAAACTGAATACAAAAGCCTTCTGGGATGGATTGGAAGAGGAAGACAAACTCCCATACATCATCTGTGCCCCTCCACCCTTGTCTGGGCTTAGGGGCTAAGAACTGCCATAGTCCATCTCCTTTATTTCCACCATGATTTTAAGCTTATTATTGCTATCCATCTCTAAAATATCTGTCTCCTAACCTTACTACTTAGGTATTTATTGCTTTCATGTTGCAATTCTGTTCACTGACCTCTAACAACCAGCACTGAGGGTCTTCTATGTGTCAGACACAAATAATTAGTATCTCATTTAGTCCTCAAAACAGCCTTAAAGGCATCATTGATTGGTGTTTTAACAGATGCAGAAAATAAGGCTTGGAATAGCTCAAATTGCTCAGCTCATGAGTGGCACCACTAAGATCTGAACACAGATCTAATTCCATAAGCATGGTCTTTCCCTTGCATCGTTACTCTATTTGACTCCTGCCTCAGTCTGAATGGCACTTTCTGCAGTTAGTCCCCTCAAACTAGTTTTTCTCCTCTTATGCATTTTCCATAGCACCCTGTACTCCATCTTAGCATTTATTCATTCTTTTCATTTTGCTGAGTTTATCCAGTACATAGTTAACATAGTCACTGAGTACTTAACTATTTATCAGGCACTGTGCTGGACAGTGTAATTTCCTTACAGGAAGTGACACTGAAATAGTGGCATCACCTACAAACTGTGTTACTCCATCTCTGAACTATA